AAGGCTTGAGAATAACAATAGAATGAAAATAAGTGAATAGACAGGCACAAAGGATACAAAATCAACTTGACTTCATGGCTGGAGGGAGACAGTGAAAATTATTCCATAGCTTGACTGACTAGGCCCAACACAATAGTAGCTACATATTTCATTCATATGATTACTTTATCAAAACCCTAAAGCAGGTAAGTTCAGTCTTAAGCCATCTTCATTTCAGCAATGGCTACAGCATTTGACTTCCCCTGTTTGAAAAAAAGTGATTATATCCACTAAAACTACTGCCACTTGGCAGTTCCTTATTAATTGTTTAATATCAATAATCACATGCAGACCTCTGACAAACCACTGAAGGTGAGATGGACAGAAAAGCTACAGAGACTAAATCTAATATGTGGAACTTAGTAAAAATTCTGATCATAATCAGCACTCTTAGTGTAAGAAAAAATTGAAATGCCCTTTTAATAAATTTGTTTCTAATTTTATCACTTATAAGGAGGGAATCTATTACCACCTATTTTAGGTATCGTAAAGAAGATAACACAACTTCAAAGCAAAATCAACTATTGTTTTTCTTCTGTTTATACCAGTAAATGTAAAAAAATAAAACAAGGGAAAGAACTATCTTTATAAACCAAGCCAAAGATCTTTAAAATATTACATTAACATTATAATAACCATTGGAAAAACTTACTGTAACTTCAACCTTATTACCAATGTAAGGGTAAAAAACTATGCTAATGCCAGGAGCTTCCAGTAACTAAATGCTCTTGGAAAGTGTCCAAGACAATGTTATAGTAAATTTCCAACTTGTTTCATCTAAGATCAAGAAAAACAAGTTATCTAAAGCATTGGATTATGTTTAAAAAGACTCTAGCTAAAAGTTTTATGTCAAATAATCACTTGGGAAAAATGTTATATTACTCTACCCATGATGGGCCCTAAGTCCAGTAAGGATCAACTTGGGGGATAGCTACACTTACTAATCTAAGTAACCTATTACTTAATATTATTTTGAGAAAATTTTCAATACCAATAAATCCCATTTTGAGAGAACTAGATTTTGGCAAAATATTAAAGTAACGGTTTACAATGATACTGCAAATCTCCCTAGATTCCATATCGTGGACAGCATGTGGTTGGTGATGGTTACTTTGATTTCTAGCTTGAGCCCCTTTACTCTCCTACTATTGTGGCTCAGATTCCTTTTTCATGGCGTACAAGACCGATAGGTATATACCAATGTCATGTATGAGGAAACATAATGGTGTTTTGTAACTGTGAGTACATATGAGAATGTACATATATAATACTCCAGACATGCAGGGATTTCCACTCGTAGCAACTGGTTTAGAAATTAAAGTTCTCCTAAATTGATTAGTAAAAGCCAGAGATTATAAGAAAAATCTAGCCAAATAGTAAAGGGAGCTATAAAATTATGGAGCCAAAAAACATCAAAATAAAGCAGGTTCACCAAACAAAGCCAACAAATTTTCATTAAGCATCTTTAAGTTTATCTGTAAATGCTGACATTTTAAAAAACTTGAGTGGTACACCACCTTACATTTATGAAAAATGGCATCAGAGGATAAATGTCTAATTCCCAAAAGTAATAATTCAAATTTAAAGATCTGCATTTAAAAATAAGAGAAGCAAGAGCTACCATGAAATGAATAGAAAAAGCAAACATGGTTTTACAGGAAACATTAAAAGTAGATAGACTAAATATAATATATAAAAGACCGAAAATGAAGGAATTTGACATAAATATTCCCAATGTGTTCAATATCTACTGAAATAAGCAATGTCATTCCAATTAATACCTAGCACAAAAATTGGCATAAATTAGCTACTTTTATTATTTTTTAAATGATGAACCAAGGAGAGATTTGTTACAATATATTTTGTAATTTACCAATACTGTTATTAAATTTTTATTAGTGATGCTTCAGCCAAGGAATTGTGCTAAAAAAGACTGGAATCTGTTAGTACCACAGTGAAAATGATGCTTCACTAGATATTCAACAGAAAGCTGACCCCTAAAGGTTCTTTGATGCACATCTGCAGCCACAGTATTCACAATACAGTACACAAAGTAGCAACAGATTGGTTAAAAACAGTTTGGATTTTCAACTTCCATACCACATGCAACATTTTTCAAAGCAATCATACTAAAATAAACGTGTCTTTCGCAGTTACAGGATGAAATCTTAAACTGGCAGGCACCAGTGCCCTGATTTTCTACCTTTTCCGTAAACCATGACTTCCACATGCTGAGAACGTTTTATGCTTTAGTCTGCAGTAAAGGCTTTCCATCATTTTAATGCTCAGTGCTTAAAATGCAACAGAATCACCCCCAATGAATGCAAGGCATATAACTGGTTTACTTTCAACCGGACTGTTAGAGAAAGTTCAATGAAAGCTTTCCCAATAACTTTGCATTTCCATAGAAGAAAACAAAAAGAAAAATCTGAGGTAAGGGCAGGCAGAAGAGCAAATGCTGTTATTTTGTTCCGACTCTCAATAAACATTTTAGTTTTATTTCTAAAACAATTATTGAACATTTTAATATTGTATGTCTTAACAGAATACCTTTCAGCAAAACAAACAAACAAACACCCTTATTATGTAGTTATTTAGGATTTTTTTCTAGTTTTTACAAAGTAATGTTTCAGGTTAAGATAGAATGTTAAAACAAAAATATTCTGGAAATGCTAGTCTATAACAAACTAAAGGCTCCACTTTGTATCAACATATTTTGTATTGTAAATTTGAGATTTAGAAGACATCAATTTTGTTTCTATTCAGGTCAATCTAAATATATATGCTACCTCAGAACAGTCAGCTTGTCTGTGAGAACTACCAACTGCAGGAATTTCAATTTGAAGGTTATAAAACATACCATAAAATTGCATACTGTATCTATGTGACTTTCAGTTTTATGGAATCTAAGGTCTTTTACTGCTAGGTTCAACAACTGATTAAGTTTGCAGCCAACTATGTAAATACACTAAATTCTCAACAGTCTAAAGAGAAATTATGCCAATTCCTTTGGTTATTTAAAAGTCTATTACACTAAAAATCTGTCTCTTGAGAAGGGATATTGATAAACTTATATTTCAGACTGAAGGAAGTACAGATTATCTTAAATTCTCCTGGTGTGATGTTATTAAATATTAAAGACTGTGAGAAACATGTTGCAGTCCCTTCCCTTTATAACTCTAATTAAAACTTAAAGGAAAAAAAAATCAGAATTCAGATTTTCCAAAACGCCTTATAAACATAATTCAGCTAGCTCTACCAACTCGGTTGCACTAGTTTTAAAATTAAGTTTCATGCAAAGCACTGCAACCTTGATGTGACAATTACCTGTGGCTAAATGCAAACCAAAAACAAGTGCAGGTCCTTTTCCTCTCAAGATGTATGTCACACACAAAACCACCACAAAAAGCACAACCGGATTAGCACAAACTAAACAAACGGGCACAGGAGGCATCATGTCCCTCCAGGAAGAGAAATGTACAATGCCAAGAAAAGAAAGGAAGGAAGGACTTCAGGAAAGAAGAAGGAAAGGAAGGAAGAAAGGAAGGAGGGAAGCAGGGAAGGCAGAGAGGGCTGTACAGCTGCAGGATCTCAGATCACTCCACCCTGTAAGAGACACGAGGGTTTTTAAGGCTTCAGGGCAATTTCATAAAGCAATCACTTTTATACCATTCAACTTTACAACAAACGGTTACCTCGAACGCCAACGGCATTCTCCCCTCCACTCACCCAGTGACTCCTCACTCTCCGGTGCCGGCTTTTTCAGACAAATGCGAGGCAGAACAGGGTGGGGTAGAAGAAAAATACAAACAGCGCCTTTCAGCGACTCTGTTCCTCTCCCCCAGCCCCCCGCCCCTCCAATAATTTCCAACAGTTTTCCCTTCCACGAAAAGAAGTCGCCCTATCTCAAGAAGCACAAGTCATTCTGTGTTTGGGAGCAGAGATGCACACACATGCATGCCAGCACTCCGGACCGCGCGACCCCACGCGCCCGAAATCTTAAGTAACGTTTCTTGTACATTTAACACCGAGGCGGCGACGGGCTGCACCTACCTGCTGTTTTTGGGGGGAGAGGGTGGGCGGAGGACTCCTTTCCAAGGAGCCCCAATCGTGTAACCAAAACACGGTTCCGGAATCAAATATTAAAGAACACTTTTCCTTTCCCACCTCATCGCCCGACTCAAGGATGTAAAAAACCGTCTCCGCACCGCCTCCCTCTCCACGGCCCTCCCGCCCGGAGTTTGGGGTGGAGATGTGTCCCGGGAGGGGGACGGCGGAGGGAGGGAGCGAGGGAGGGAGGGAGCAAGGGAGGGAGGAAGGAGGCGGGGAGGGAGAGCGGGATCGGGCGACCGGACGCAGGCAAGTGGCTAACCCCGCCGCCTCGCACCGCGGCGCCAGCCCGGAGGTCTGAGTCCAGCACCGTCTGTCCGTCCGTCCGTCCGTCCGTCCGCCCGCCCGCCCGCCCCTCTGCCCAGGCCCAGGGCACGGCCAGGACTCCGGCTGCCCAACTTCCTATGGCCAGACCCGTGTTCCAAGCGAACATGTTACACGAGTGCACGTCACCCAGTTTTAAACACACATCACACGCCTCCAATTCACCTTAACAGTTTCCCAAACTCCCAAGGAGGGGACCCCCGCCCCTCCAGGATTCAGAGGAGACGAGGAGGAGAAGAGTTAGGGTGCAGCCGACGCCTTTCAATGACCGCCCCCCACAAACTGCCCCGCCCCAACCCCGCACCCTGCGTCCGGGTCACCCACTCGGAAGCCCCCCGCTTCCTCCCTCCTCTCAATCCGGCCGCTTCGGAGACCCAGCCCCAGCCCACTCACTTTCTCCCCAAAACCCCCGCAAAAAAAAAAAAGAAGAAAAAAAAAGGAAAGAAAAGAAAAAAAAAAAGTGGAGAGAAAGAAGTGAGAAAAAAGAGACTCGAGGTGAAGTCCGGCTTTAAAACCGCTCGACTCACCTCGGAATCGTTGCTGAGTTCTCTCCGCGCGGCACAGCCCCCTCCCCAACGTCCCGGTGCGAAGGGCTGAACCGGGAGGAGGGGAGAGCGGGAGGGGGAAGGGTGTCTTCCGCGCGGGGAGCCGGTCGGGAGCGGACTGGGGAGGGGTGGAGGTCCGCGCAGGAAGAGGAGGAGGGGGAGGGGAGGCCCCTATCTCCCAGTCTCCCCCCAGAAAACCTCCCTTGTCTCAATCACATCAGACTGACTGTCTTTGTCTGGCTGACAACCGCCATATTGATATCAACAGCCCCGCTCCCACCTGCTGCAGCCGGGCGGCCCTGGGAGTTGTAGTTCCTGCCTCCCCTGAGTAAAAGTGAGGGACCCTGCGTCCAGAGACTCCGGCGAACTACAACTCCCGGCAAGGAGCGCGCCCACCGGGAGGCGGGGAAAGGGGCGCCAGAGCCGTGGGAACTACATATCCCAGAATATCATGGGTACCAGGCCCAGACTGTGGGCATGATATCACGCTGGGGTGGAGAGGCAGGATGAATTAGCCGCTGGGATGAATTTGAGCGGAGGGAAGAAGGTGTTTAGAGAGAAAACGAGAGGAAAAGGAAAGATAACTAATAGTTCTCAGGATGTGTGGAGGCATGACTACATTTCCCATGAGGCCCCGGGAAGGGGGCGCAGGGAAGAAAGACTACAAGTCCCGCCATGCTCTCCTCGGGCGAGCGGCGGAGCTTGAACCGGAAGACGTGTTCTGGGTTTGAGGAGTCCAGTGGCTGCTGTGGAACAACCAAAAGTCCAATATGAAGCTGGTGAGTCTCTTCTCCTAGGTGAGGGGGCAATGGTTATGCCATATCCTTTGGACTTAGTCGTTGCCACCTGGCGAAGGGAACGGTGTCTAAAGGGGTGGTAATCGGGGGACTAGAAAGTGGGGTGAACTAAGGAAAGCTGCTGTTTGCTGTTTGAGGGGGTTAGGATCACACCTCCCCACCCCACCCCATCACACAGCTGCCAGGAGATCCTATACATCCTTGGTGGGTACCTTTGGTTAGATAAGTGGTTGGCTGTGACATTTCTTCTCCGACGAACTAAGGGTGGGCTTGATGAACCAGGTTTGGCTTGTTTCTCAGCTGCCACGTGAGTGTTGTCATAGGTTGTTAATTTCTTCCCACGCAGTTGGCGTCTAAGCGTTTCTTCTTACCCTTGTTGAGGCTTTGGTTACTTTGGAGTAGAGGGTAGAAAATACTGGACAGAGGGCAATTATTAAATTTTCTGTGATAGACTTTTAAGTGCACTTGGGATTCAGAGAAGGATGAGGGCAGGGTGTGCCCCTGGAGGATTTTTGAGGCTTTAAACCTGTATGGCTTGCGTGTTGGTAGGTTGAGAGGAAGTGTTAGCACATTACAGGTGGGAGCGCCCTTCTAATTGCTAGATGAAATGCTGCGGATTTGTGAATTGCTTGATAAAGCCAATGAGATCTTCAAGGTGCAGTAAAAAGACATCCCAGTCCAGGGCTGTAAGGACTTCATGACCCAAGGTTAGATGGCACATGCCAGTATACCTGGAGTCTGCATCACAATACTCAAAACTCCTGGCTTCTGAGAAAACTCAGACCTTTATTTGGAGTCATTTTACTATCATTGTGCACGCAGACCTAACTAGTTTATTCCAGCTGTATGGAATTAGTTATCATAATTAGGAGAGAAGAAAAGCATGTGTGATGCTGTACCTTTTAAAATCGTGTTCCTGTAGCCAAATATTGTCAAGCTTTACTTTCTGTAACTTTTATTTTATTTTATTTTTAAATATATTTTTATTGATTTCAGAGAGAAAGGGAGAGGGTGAGAGAGATGGAAATATCAATGGTGAGATAGAACCATTGATTGGCTGCCTACTGCACACCCACTATCAGGATTAAGCCTGCAACCCGGGCATGTGCCCTTGACCGGAATTGAACCCAGGACACTTCAGTCTGCAGGCTGACGCTCTGTCCACTGAGCCAAACTGACGAGGGCATTTGTAATTACACACACACACACACACACACACAGCCCCCACTTCCATTTTTATAATTACTTGAACATACTTTTTCAAAAGACACACACCCCTTTGGTAATTACCATGCTGCAGGTATACTTACTTGCTCAGCAAAGTGCCAGCTATTTTTTTTTTTTTAAACTCAGAGAAAGTATTAAAAGTAGATTCAGCTCCAAAACTGTCTCTATTTGAAGCTGTTGATGTAAGGGGAGAGCACAGATCAGTAAACCTTGAGAATATCCAATTTGCTTCTAGGTCGGTGTGCTAGACACCTGAAGAATGCAGACTTGAAAGTCACCACTCTGTTCCTAAAGAAGCGTGCAGTAATGAAGGTAGAAAAGTAAGCCAGCACTGTAATTCCTGATAACACAGAGACATGTGTAGGGCTTGGAGAACTGGGAGAATGATTGAGAGGCAGCTTCTTGGAAAGGTGACTCTGGAATTGATAAGAAGGATGAGTAGGCTAGGGTCTTCCATGAAGAGGAATCAGCTTACGAGCAAAAAGCTTTCGCCTAAATTAGGGGTGTCGAACTCAATCAGAGAAGGGGCCAAAATCTAAAATCCAGCCTAAATTGCGGGCCGAATGGTTTACTGAACAGTCATAAACTGTCATTGTGATGGAAACGCAGCGGAGTGCAGTGATGACAGCGCGGTGTGGGCCACATTGCAAGGCCTGGCCGGACGGATTTGGCCCGCGGGCCTTGTGTTTGACACATGTGGCCTAAATGGTTGGAGCACAGACCATGTGTCTTCAATAAAAGATAAATTACCCTGGTGTGCTTGATGCAAAGGTATGCAAGTGTGAGACAGTTTTCCCATAAGAACTCATTTGCTGAGGTTATCAGAGAGCCATGGTTTATTTGACAATTGTGAATTTATTCTTGTATTATTTATTTATTAGTAATAATTATAACCTGCATGTGTTTTTCTCCATACAAACAACTGTAAACCTACTTTTGGCCACCCCTATACTTTGGTTTGCTCAATATATCCTCTTGCTTCATTTATTTAGAGATGTGAAATCATGGAAGGGAAAAAAGTAGAAACTTCTTTTTTCCCTTTAAGAACCAAAAGATAGCTCTAGGGAAGTGTTAAAAACTCATTTGGGCCAGGCCAGTTTGGCTCAGTGGTTAGAGGGGTCTCAGGTTAGATTCCTGGTGAGGGCACATATCTCTGTTGCAGGTTCCTCAGCCCCAGTAGGAGTGTGCAGGAGGCAACCAATGTACATGTCTCTCATATCGATGTTACTCTCTCTCACCCTCTCTTACCCCTCTCCCTCTTTCCACCTCCCCTCCCACCCCCCTTCCTTCCTTCCTTCCACTCTTGCTAGAAATCAATGGGGGGGAAATCCTCAGGTGAGGATTTAAAAAACACACACCAAAAACTCATTTGGTCATTAATAGATGATCTGTAATGCAGAATTTCTATCAACATAGCAAAGTGGTTTCAAAAATACTGCCAGTAAATTAGATTCCTTTTGTGTGATATGCCTCCTGTAGAGTTATAATAAATATTCCCATGGCCTAAAATGTTTAACTTTGTGTGCTGCTCCCGGAATATGTAGTAAGCCATGTTTTACATTTATTTCATGAAACACAGAAATATTTTATTGAGCACATTCTTGAGTTTGAGATTATGACTTCCAAAATACCCTTCCCAGTCTGTGACAACCTCTTACTCAGTCTACTTCTGTTCTTAAACAGAACTATTTCTCTCCAGTCCTGCTAATACTGCCTTTATAGGGGCTCTTTTCACTTGACATTTGGAATTCAAAAGACCTATCTGGGCTGCCTACATTCAGCCTTTTCCCTCTCCAATCCATTTTCTACTCTGCATCCTAAAAGTTGTTTCATTTTATTTTTTTTCTAAAAGTTGTTTTAAACTGCAGGTACCCTTTGCCCTTATGATAAAGTTTTATAATTTTTCATGAGACTGACTTGGTCCTTCCTGCCTCTCCAGGTTTGTGTCTAGCCCTCATCTCCATGGTTCTCCCATTTCCAATAATTTTACACATCTTCCGGGTCCCTCAACTTTCCCTGCTCTCCTTTGCCTCTGAGACTTCACAGTATGTTCCATTGCCTACACTTTCTCCCTGCCTAATTTCTTTATACATTTCAGTCTCTGTGGAAATAATACTTCCTCTTCCAGCCAGTGTGATTCAGTGGTTCAGTGTTGACCTATGAACCAGGCGGACACCGTTTAATTCCCAGTCAGGGCTTTATCTCTAGTAGAAGGAGTGCAGAAGGCAGCCAATCAGAGATTCTCTCTCATCCTTGATGTTTCTATCTCTCTCTCCCTCTTCCTTCCTCTCTGAAGTCAATATATATATATATATATATATATATATATATATATATGTATTTTAATAGCACATCCTCAAGGTTTCCTTTAATTAGGTACCCACCCCTCTTAGATGCTTCCATGGCACACCTTCTTTTGTAGCATTTGCGATGATTAGTTTTATTTCCTCCCTTTCTCTTTTAGACTGTGTATTCCCAAGGCCCGGCATAATGTGACACCACTAAATAGTAGTTGGATAATATCTGAAGGTTTTTCAAAGTCTGTAAATATCATTGAGAGAAGCTTACGGGGTCAAGTTAAAACATTACAATAGGCTGTAACATTGGAGTGAAAAAAAAACAAAATAAATGCTACCCCTTATGGAACAATTACTGTGTGCCAGGCACTGTGCAAGGTTCTTCTTAGTCAGTGGTCCATTTAATCCTTTGGTCTAGGCTCCAGGGATGATAGTCCCATTTTAAAATCTGAACTCCAGGGAGGTGATGTCGCTCAAAGTTACCCAGAGGAAAAAGGCGGTACAGCCAAGGTCTGAACCCAAGATCCTTCCTCAAGAGTCTGCTGCTTAATGAGGGCAAGGAAGCCAGCGCCTTGCCCAGCCGCCCTTAAAGAGAGGAAGCCCGGGTGCTTACTGAGAGCTTATTTGAAGCTGTTTTTCCTTGATGATTATAGTTTGTTCCAATTCTGTTAGAACATATGGGTCCGGGGGAGTAAAAATAATCCAAGGATCACTGGGGAAAGCCTTTAGGTCTGGCACCTGGAGGCTCTGGAGAGGAGGCAGTGGGAGGCACGTTCCGAAGGGAAGGAATCTCCTCACCCCACCTTCCCTTCTTGCCTCTCATCCGCCCTTCAGGGCTGGTTTTAAAATTATCTTTAAATGGGGGTTTGGTTAACTTAAGATCTTAAAAATTATTACTGGCAAAAAGTTGAAGTTTGGAAATTTTCTTGATAGTACAAAGGACCCCATATCAGATCTTGAGTGCCCAAGTTAGTTTTTTTACTACCCACGTTGGCCTCTGATACCATTTATAGTTCTCTAACTTTACACATTCTCCTGGTGGCTTTTTACACACCCAAGGGAAGACAATATAGGTCATTATAATGTAATCCTTAAAAATCTTCTTCTTAGATACCAACTGAACAGATTTTAGGGACTGTCTATATTATGATGCCATATTCAGGGAGCTTTATCTAACTGAAGAAATTCATTAGTATCTTCAGGGAACCAGAATTGTTTTGAAAAGGAACAGGAAAATTAAAAATGTGTCCTCTGAATTAGCAAATTTTAGAGCATGTTCTCTTTTAGTTTAGATTGAGCCTAATTGGGTACACCCTGATGGCCAATTCAGCTAAGGATAAGGAACTAGAATTCACCAGGGAACTTACAAAAAAAACAAAACAAAACTGAATACATTGACAGAAATTGACTTTGAAACATCATGACAAGGAATTTAGTCATTCAAATAGATGAAGGTTA